CAAAAAAAAAAAAAAAAAGTAAAACATTTGTACTGATACTTCCTGGCCTATGTGATGTCCCTCCCATCTCGTCACCTTCCCCTGCATCCTCTCCACACTCTGCCCTGTGTTTATTTCCTTTTTGGGTTGCCTTTACAATTTAAAATGATACACTCACACCTCCATTTCTCCTTCCGTTAGCCGCTGACAGCATCTTGTGACCCTCTTTGCTCAGGTGAAGATGTCAGAGTCTCCATGTCCCCCTAACACCTCTCCTCTCCACTGCCCCATCGCCCCCCACCCATCATGTCTGTCTGAGGTCACGGTTGACGACATCCACCTTGGTTTAATAACCTTAAGGCTTCCATGGCTGACTGTGGGGTGCTGCTCGAAGCTGCAGACCAGTGCCCGGTGTTGGCAATGCCCTCAGCGTCCGTTACGGTCACTGCAGGGCCAACAATGGCTGTGCTCACATTTCCTTCTCTTTGGGTCGGCCATCACTCAAAGAAGAATGTTAAATGTATTTTCCTTTCTCGTGTTCTCTTCCATGCTAGACAGCCATCAGTTTCTATTTTGGTTTGCTTTGTATTTTGGGCATGCCTTACTTACACAGCTTTGTGTGCTTGTTTTTCTGGAATTTCTAATACAAAATCCTCTTTACCAGCTGCATAGCATTCCATTGAATGGAGTATCATTTATGAGGGCACTGCAAAGAGCTTGTGGAAAAGTGGAATGGAAGTATTATTTTGGTGCAAGGAAGAAAAAAAATGGAAATCCATGCATTGTTTTCTTCATAATGTGCACTTTTCCATAAACTTTTCAAAGACTTTGTATTTTCATCCAGTCCCCTATGGTTGGACTCTCAGGTTGCTTCCAGTTTTTCATGAATGTGAATGGTGCTTCTACAGTGTTTGCAATTTCAGGAATGTGGCTCCCCCTTTAAACCCTACCTCTCTGTGCCATACCCCTCCCTGCCCACCTAGCTTCAATTCAACTGGCTCATTCTAGAGGTTGGCCTAAGAGGTTTCTCTGGGGAGGCAGTCCCACAGGTTACATCTCTTTTCTTCCCCACAGGCTCTGAAAAGCGGCCAGTCCTCAAATTTGAAGTTGAAAACGTCTCCAACTACACTGCCCTTCTGCTGAGCGCGGACAGCAAGACTCTGTATGTGGGTGCCCGAGAGGTCCTCTTCGCCCTCAACAGCAGCCTCAGTTTCCTGCCAGACGGGGAGTACAAGGAGGTAAGGTAGAGCCCAAGGCTGCCTAGGCTGGGCAGAGGAGGCGGGAGAGGAGAGAGAGACAGGGCCCTCCATTCCCTTACACACTCACCTCTCCTCTCGTTCCCCAGGTGCTATGGCGTGCAAGTGCAGAGAGGAAGCATCAGTGCAGCTTTAAGGGCAAGGACCCACAGGTGAGTTGGCACCTAAAGAGGGCTGGGAGTGGAGGACCTGGCCCCAGACAGAGGCAGAAGGGGGAGCAGATGCAGCCAGGTGGGTGGGAAGCGCATAGGCGTCTCAGATGGCCAGACCCGGAATGAGCCCCAGTTCTGTGCTTATCGTTACTGTGACTGGGACAAGGAGATTCACCTCTCTGAGCCTTAGTGTACGCACCTGTGAAATGGGGATACCAGTTCCTGTCTCCCTGGGCTCACTGTGAGGACTCGGTGGCATATAGTAAGTGCCACATAAATGGTAGCTTCCAGCATGAGCAGGGACTTGGGTGAGAGAGCGTCCTCTGTCCAGCCATGCAGGATGGTCCCTGCTGTAGCAAGACTGACAGATTCTGGTGTGTTGACCAGACTGTTGGGTGGGGTCTGGTTCCCCTGGGATTCCAGGGGACTCCCCACTATTCCCAGAGACCTCCCGGTCCTGACTGCAGCAGGCGGCAGCTAAGAAATGGCAAAAGAGCACCAGGCATGGAGCCACAACGTAGGTTCAAGTCCCAGTTCCTCCTGACTCACCCCCATACCCCATTCAGTAAACAGTCATTAAGCACTTGCTCTGAGCCCAGGCACTGGAAGTATGATTGTGAACAATTAAAACCAGTAGTAAAAAGGGGACCAGCAGATAGCATAATGGTTACATTGCTGGACTCCCACATAGTCGACTACTGTTCAAGTCCCAGACCCAGTGACTTAAAACTCACACTGGGCACGTGTATGTGCATGTGTGCCCAAAGTCCCCAGAGGAAGGCGTGGTGGTGCCCGCCCAATACCAAAGTCCTGAAAGGATAATGGGGGGAGAAGGGATTGCAGCATGCCTATCCCCGCTGGAGGGTGATTTCTCACTTTTTGTCTCTCTTTCTCTGTCTCTCCGGTTAGTGCAAGTGCCCTATAGCAAAAATCTCTCTCCTTTTTTAGAAGAATTTAACTTTGGGACCAGCAGTTGGCATCATGGTTATGGCGCTGAACTCCCATGTAGCCAACTGCAGTTCAAGTCCCGGACTCAGTGGCTTAAACTCATGCCGGACGTGTGTGCACACGTGCCCAAGATGCTGAGAGGAGAATGGAGGAGAAGGGATTGCGGTGTGGCCATCCCCCCTGGGGGGTGATTTCTCACTTTCTGTCTCTGTCTCTCTGTCTTTCTGGCGAGCGCACGCATCCTATAGGAAAAACCTCTCCAAAAAAATATATTTAACTTTATTTATTTATTTTAATTTGACCAGAGAGGGATAGTGAGAGAGAGGGAAAGTGAGAAAGCAAGCCACCAGGTCCAGAACTCGAACCACGGTCAGCCACATGAGACTTCAGGGTTCAAGGCTAATAAGCATTTCCTCCTGCTCTGGAGTATGGCTTCCTCCCCGGGGTGGTGGGGAGGTAACTGGTTTTCACTGGGGGCAGGCAGTCCAAGAGGGTGCAATTCTGTGCCTTTGCCTCCCAGAGCTAAGCAGAGTGTGCCCGTTGTGCCCCAAGGTCCCTGTAACACACACTGCGCTCTTCTGCTGGCCCTGCCTTCCTGGATTCACTCTCAGACTTGAGTGTCTCCCCTCCAAGTCCCAGTATGCTGGGACCCAGCCTCTAGGACAGACCCGGGTCAGTGGAGAAGGCTCCACAGTGCCCCCTTGTGGCACACTGACATCCTCTCCACCTTCCACCTAGCGCGACTGTCAGAACTACATCAAGATCCTCCTGCCATTCAACAGCACCCACCTGTTCACCTGCGGCACATCGGCCTTCAGCCCGGCCTGTACCTACATTGTGAGTGCCATTGCCTCCACTCTGGGCTTGCCCGGGGACTGCCCCGCGTCCTGCCCCAAGGAGCTGCTCTCCAGTGCCGACTCCCGGAGGAGGGCAGGGCCCTGGCGTTGCTTCTAGGGAGCAGAGGGCTCTGAAAGCTGTGAGACTCACCACCTACCTGCCCCACCCTGCCAGCCAGGGTCTCCCTGCATGCAGTCACCCACTGGCAGAGATCCTGCCCAGCTCATCACTTGCTGGCCTCTATGGCTTCCTGCAGCCCTCCTCTCTCTCTCTCTGTGGCTTGATTCTGTCAGTCCCGTGCCACGTCCTCAGCACACACTCACGCTCGCGTTCCTACGCCATGCACACCCTCGCACAGGGCAGCATTTGAGGCGGTGGGTTGCAGCACCAGCTTTGGGGCCACATACCTGGTTTGAATCGGGGGGCCGATTGTGCCCACTGCTTCAGGTCTCCACAACGCGCTGCACATGGTGCCTTGCATGCTGTGCGGGGGCGAGGAGGAAGCCTCTGACACCTGTCCCCTCCCTCCGAGCGCCTCAGCTGCCTGTAGGGCCGCCCTCTCCGGTGCCTCGCCCTCCTTTCCTGCCGAGCCCACTCCTCATTCCCCTGCATGTCCCCAAGCCCAGCTTTTTGTCACCCTACAGAACGTGAAGAACTTCACTCTGGCCCAGGACACAGCTGGGAACATCCTCCTGGAAGATGGCAAGGGCCGCTGTCCCTTCGACCCCAACTTCAAGTCCACGGCCCTGATGGTTGGTGAGTGTTGGCAGGAAGGACGCATCGGGGTGCCCGAGGAGCAGGCAGGTGCGCAGGCTGTGCTCCTTACCAGGCAGCAGAGTGACCCTGGGCCACCCCAGGGTGTGACTTCTCCAAGCTCCAGCCCCTTCCTTGCCCAACGCTGGCAAGGAGGGCAGTACTGGGTTGTGCTGGGCCTGAGTGGGAGAAGGTGCCGTGCTGAGGGCAACCACATGGGCTTGCTTCTTTGGCAGACGGTGAGCTCTACACTGGAACAGCCAGCACCTTCCAGGGCAACGACCCAGTCATTTCCCGGAGCCAAAGCCCGCGCCCCACCAAGACTGAGAACTCCCTCAACTGGCTGCAAGGTGACGTCCTCTCCCCACTACCTGGTGGCAGTCCCAGAGGCCCTGGGGGCCACTCTCTCCCAGCAGAGTCTGCCTCCAGGCCTCCGGAGCTGACTGCACTCCCCACCGGTCCCCACAGACTCAGCCTTCGCAGCCTCAGCCTACATTCCCGAGAGCCTGGGCAGCCTGCATGGTGACGATGACAAGATCTACTTCTTCTTCAGCGAGACTGGCCAGGAGTTCGAGTTCTTTGAGAACACCATCGTGTCCCGTGTCGCCCGCATCTGCAAGGTGAGGGGCTGGGCCCTCCGGGCAGTCTCCCCTCGGACCCTGAAGTCCCCAGGTGCAAGATCCCCCACCTCTGTGGCCTTCCCTGTCTTCTGGAAGAAGCAGCTTGGCTAACAGCTTTCTCTCTCACCCTCCCCTCCCCTCCCCTCCCTACCTCTCCCTTCCCCTCTCCTCTTTCATCAGAGAGCATGTGTCCTCACCAGGGGGAAGAGAGAGAGAACCACCCACGAGTGGTACTGCCACTTCCGTGGGGTGCAGTCCCTCTGTCTCTCCCTCCTTTCAGGATTTTGGGCAAGCACACACATCACCCAGCTTGTTTCTCGGGCTGCCAGTCTTGGTGGTTGACCGCGTGTGATCTAGCCCCTTCATCACCGTGTCTCCAGTTGGCCCCTCTCCTTTTTTTTTTTTTTTTGAATAACTT